GGGGGGTGGAGAGCAGGGGATGGAGTGGGGGGTGGGGATGGAAGACCTACGGCTGGGCAAGGCTTGGGGGGGAGCCAGGGGTCCTACAGGCACCCACACACTCACCTCCTGCAGCAGAAGGAAAGGGGGTTTAACCTTTTTATTTCCTTTTGTTAAAAAAAAAAAAAAAAAAAGACAAGAAGCATCAATGCAGAGTACCGGACGGGTCGACTCAGAGAGAGAGCGCAGCTGACGGCAGCGCCTGCTTCGCCGCTGTGCCCCAGGGAGAAGGCTCCGAATGCACCTGGGGCATCCAGGGAAGGGGGGCTGTGCTGGAGGAGGGGCCACAGCAGGTGACACTGCCTCTGGCCCCCCCCCAGCCTCCCCAGGCCCCTCGCTCCCTCCCCAGCGACTCCCTGTCTACCAGGCTAATTCTGTCTCACATTTACTGGCCCCTTAATAGCTTGACCTTTATTTTCTTTCCCAAAATGGAAACAAAATTATTATTATTTTAATTGTAAAAGTCAGCTCCCCCAGATTTGTAAACATCAAGGTGAATCTGGGGCCAGCCACTTCTGGGCCCCATTGAATGGCAACTAGAGCAGCCGCTCCCCGCCGTGAGTGCTGCTTCCTTCTGTCTCCTTGGCACCTCCCCTCTGCCCTGGCACCAGCAGAGCTGGGTCACACCCACCGGGCACAGGCCCTCACTGAAGTGGCTTGGCTTCCACCCACCTGTCACAGGGGTGAGCAGAGACTGAAGATATGCTGGGGCCAGGCTGGCAGGAGACCGAGAGGGGACAGGAAGGCACAAAGGAGACCAAACCAAGCTGGGGCCGCAGAACACTGGAGACCGCTGCCTCCAGACGCCCTTGGGGCATAGAGCCCCAACGTGAGCCCCTTTGATGCTGACTCCGGCCAGTGGAGAGAGCAGGTTGAAGAGAGAAAAGAAATCACAGAAGCTGAGTGCCAGTGAACGCGTTATTTGGGACTGTGCCGGTGGACAAAAGGGATTTTTGAATATAGAAGATTGAACTTGCACATAACTCATGGAGGCCAACAGCAAGCGAGACGGTCAAAAGGCAGACTATTATCTTGCTCAAACACGCTTTCTTTTTGTGGTTCAGGAAAATGCAAAAGGCTCACACAGTGGACTCCTGGTTTACCCAGGCAGGTGGACACCTCCCTCTGCAAAGCACCCGGCTCTGTTCTAAGGTAACAGGGTAGGGTGGGGACAGGGAGCCACAGGGTAAGAGAGAGAAAAAGATTTTTTTGGGGGGGAGGGAGGCTTCTTTCTCTATTGGCCTGATATGGATGCAGGCAGACACTGGGCAGGCTCTCCTATCCAGGGGAGGGGAGAAGGCAGGTGTTGGTAGCAACTTCTTCTAGCAGAAGAGCCAGAGGCAGCGGCCTCGCAGACAGGACGTGGAGCACCCACTGAAAGATGCCGTGCAGAAATGAGTGTTCCACCCATCCCTGGCAGCCTCCGCCGTTCCTCTGTGCAGAGGCAGGAGCAACTCCACAGCAAGCAGCGCTCCTTCGGCCTCTGTCACCCTCCCTGCTCAGTCATCTGCCACCCAACGACATTAACATCACCACGGAGAAGGTACCCTGTTAGAACCCACACTTGCTCATCACACCTTGCAGCTACCCCCACCCTCCAACCCGGCCAGGGGCAGAACAGTGGGTTTCCGGGTCCCCACTAGAGGGCGCACTCTGCAGACAATAAATACCCAGTTCCCACTGGGACCCCTTCTCTAGGTTTCTGGTAGTGGAACCTGCACTACCCGGGGTTGCGACACAGCGGCGTGAGGGCCTCTATGCCCCACAGTCCACACTGGCCTCTGTCTCCTTGAGCAGAAGACCCAGGCCGCTCCAGAACACACGCTCCAGGCTTGGGATCACACCCCCTGAAAGCTGCGTGGGACTGGAAGGAGAGCCACACCCTGGCTGCATAGGAGGGAGAGGGTCTGGCTCCTGGCAGGAACTTGTCAGCAGCTGTTGGTGGCAGTGGGAAGGCACCAGGGGCACACTGACCACCTTTGTGGTGGAAGTCAGCGTAGCTCCACGTCCTGAATAGGGACTGGACATTCAGTAGGGAGAGAGGGTGCTCATCTGAGGATTCCCTCTGCCTCTAAGCGGCCTTGAGGAAGGAGGCAGGGGGTGGAGGAGCAGACCCCTGAGGTTCAGGCCCTGGCCCGAGGGCGTCTGTGGAAGCCACTTTCCAGTCAATGTTCAATAATCTGTCGGGAACCAAGGATAGCACTTTGCCCCAGACCGGAGACTCATTTTGAGGGGCCAGAAAGGGTCCCACACACCAGTACAGGGGTCAGGAAGAGGGCAGGGGACATCCCTGTTAATGGGCAAGGGCACCTTGTGCACTGCCCAGCTTGGGCGTGTGGTGTGCGTAGGGAGGGAAGAAATCTCACTGAATAGACCGTGCTGAGATTCTTAAAACTGGATGTTACGACTGCCATCCCTGAAGAGGACAATGTTGTGCAAACACCTTGGCAGCAGAAGCTGTGGCTTGGGGCAAGCCCTGTGCCAGGCTGGCAGTCTGGGGTTCACCATGGTGGGCAGGCTCACTCTGGGACCCGTCCATAGCAGTGGTTTAGTCCTGTGCAGGTTCCTCTTTAGCCCTCCCCCATCCCTGCATCCTCTGGGCCATCGCAGGCCAGGCAGAGCCTCAGGAAGGCAGCCACGGTGCAGACAAAGGGAGCACTGGACTTGGAGTCAGACGGCCTGAGTGTGGCCCCGGCCCTGCCCGTGCAGCCCAGCCCTCCGCAGTCCGGTCCTCGTTTGTGATGTGGGAGTGGCGCCTTCCTCAGCCAGCCTGACTCACCGGGCTGCTGTGAGCACAACAGGGTGCTCTGTAACTCGTCAGGGGTAAAGCAAATACCCCTTGTTTTGAAAGGGTTGTGAAGGTACAGCCCAAGGAGGCAAGTACCATATGCAGACTTCAGCAAATCTGACAGAGAGATGCAGCACATGCACACACATCAAAGGATCAGCTCATCTGTCTGGCGCCTTCCACCATCCCGCACCTGAAGAAAGGGCTGCTGGGAGTGGGGAGCAAGGACCCCAAACCTCACTGGAGGTGGCAGGAGGAGATGCTTGGGATAACAGCTGGAAGCACTGCAGGGGATCCAAGGAGGGACTTCCGGCCCATCAGAAGAGACCCTAATGGCTGACCTATCCCAGACTCCCTCAGGCAGAGATGAATGCTGCAGGCTTTGCACCTCACCTGCCAGGCCCGGGCTCGAGGCTCACGGGCACCTGTCCCTGCCTTTTCCGGGTTCTGAAACAAGCCAGGGGCACACCTGCTGCCTTGGGCGCCACCTGCCAGCAGCTCTGCTCATGAGGGCTCAGAAGTGGCCGCCGGGGGACTCAGTTACCAAGGGTGGGGCAATGGCAGGAGTCAGAGCAGCCTCACAGGTGATGCGGAAAACAGGCGTGGCTGCCTAGATACCTCGTGTGGTCCCTAAGCGATCCCACAGGACCGAAGGGCTGAAAGCCAGAGCCTGAGACCCTAGGGCCTCTGAAGAAACCAGAGAGAGGGACCGGTAACAAAATCCCTTCCACATGGCGAGCGGCAGCCCACATCTCTGGGACAAGCCAGGGGCCCCTCGAGTTCTAGCCTGAGACCCAGCTCTGATTTGGCGGAGCTCAGGTATACACTGGGCAAGGCCCGCACTCAAGACCCTTTCAAGCCTCTGCACTGGGGAACTCTGCCCGGGGTGGGCTGCATTTCCAGTGGGGGAGGGGGAGCTGGTGCACTCCCCGCCCTGCTGCTGGGGTTGGGGGAGTCCTCACCAAGGGCAGCCCAGA